TTGTGTCTGTAGACACATTTTCTTACCTCTCCATTCTACATACCAGTTTCTCAGAAATGCAGAAATATTTCAGCTCGATCAGCCCACTGGGGTTTTTTTATGCATTCTTTATGCATTCTTTTATGCAAACTTTAAGCAGTTTAGATAATGTAACTGCAATGAAAACTAAATGTATAAATTTGAGGCAGAGTTGAGTAGTAGAGTACAGAAAAGCAGAGACTTTAACAAGAATCATACCAGCTCTCTACACTGGGAGAGGTATCACACCGGCTGCTAGTGCAAAGGCAACACTGGGATAAATTAGTAGTAGTGTCAAAAAAATATTCTGCTTCATACTTTATTTGGAACAAACTGCAACCGGTCAATGTCTACCCATACAAGATTATGGAATTAGACATAGAAGACTCTTTCTATTGTATTCTGCTATATGGCTGTACGTGGGATCCTAGCTGTCTTACTAACTTCTTCATTGATGTACTATTAATCTTGAACATCATTCAAGTAGATGCTTTGTTCTGTCCTCTTCCTCTGCATAAGTCTGGTATCGATGTCCAACTAAACTCAAACATGCCTGGAATTTTTTTTTTTCATTTAATTAATAAAATACACACCAAGAATGCCTAGTCAGGCAACAGATCACACAAAGAATTGGATCTTGCCATCAATTAGTTATATTACAAACTTATCTACGACTGATGCGGTCAATTTACTGCATTCCAGGCAGTTGATCCCAGATCTAAGACCTTGGACTACTACACTTTTACAACATTAGTCAGAATCAGTAATGAATTTTTTTTTTTTTAGATCTTCCTATCCTTTGCTTTGCCATTCAGCACTAGCAGTAAGAATCAAGCTTACTCCAAGTAATAACAATCAAATGCATATAAACATTCGTGTTTGCTATTTCAATCCGGGAGGGATCTGCAATGCAAGTTTAGAAAGGAAAGCTATTTTCTGTTGGAATCATGAGCAGTGAGCAAAAGCCATAATGGAAACCAGCTCTCCCTAGGCAAAGTGGAAGATGAGGGGGAAAAAGCTAAACAATTAGATACTACAATTAAGGGATGAACAGCTGGCATTTTAAGGAATGTGGTGTATAAACCAAGAGGCTGGGTAATAAAACGGCAGATGAAGTTCAGTGGACGCACTTAATAAGTGATGCACAATGGAAAGACCATCTAATTTAACGTTCACAGAAATGGACTCCTACCTCTGTGACTCAGAAGCTAAATCTTGATGGTAGCCATTTTATTGAGACACCACCTCAGTGCTCAGCAGCTATCAGAAAGCAAATCAAGCGTTAGGCACTGTTAGTACAGGACTAAAGAACAAAACCAGAAGATACCATGACAATGCCTGAATCCTGAACGGCAGATGCAGTTCTGGTCCCCAAATCTAAAGGGAACCTGAAGATCCAGCCAAGGTGCAGGAGGAGATCGCAGAATGTGTTTACACCAGCATTTTGGCTCAGATCAGAAGTGCACTTTTGTAACTCATCTCCCTATCACTGCTGCTTCGTGCACTGTGATTCTCATCTTAGAGCCTTCTTGGGTCACAAGCTGGATTTCTTTGACTGAATCTAAACAAGGAGACAGCCACTACCACACCAAATGCTAACTAGCACCCAGTCCACAGGACTAGGCTAAAATCAGCTGATGCAAACTTCTGTGAAATGCAGATAAGCACAGACATTGAGTCCTAATTTACTCTACAAATTCCATCCTAATCCCCCATGCTGTTTGATAACGAGGGAACATCCAAAGCTGAGAGGAGGTGCTGAATATCTTGTTTATGGCAAGCACCTAATAAAACTAGGAGACTTCATTCTGGGGAAGGTAAGGCTACATGATATGGCTCTGAAACAACGTAAGTGGCATAGAAAAGGATGAGCAAAAAGTAACTGCTCCAGATCTCTTCCTAAATGAGATGGAGGAAACATCCAAAAGAACAGGCAGAAGGTCATTCTGCATCAAAACAAAAGGAGATTTTTCTTCACACAGCACCAATTTAAGCAGGAGAACTCCTTGCTAACAAAGATTATGGATGCTATAAGTTTATAAGGGTTCAGAAATAAACTATACAGATTCATTGGGGGAAAGTCCATCAAGAGCCATTAAACACAGTCAGCAATGCTAGGTCTGGAAATATCTGAGCTGCAGACTGCTAGCACTTGGGGGATACTTTGGGCAAGTAAAACTACACACCTCCCTTGTTACTGTCCTCCTCTTGTAGGTATCCACTACTGACCACTGTTGAGACAGGATACTGACCTTGATGTACAAAATTCAGTGTGACCAAGTCAGGCTGTTCTTAAAAATGGCAGTATAGGTGTGCCAGGTGGAAAAGGAAATAAAACACACACCAATCTAAGAAAAGGGGAAACAAACTTCTGTAACAAACTACGAAACAAGCAAATCTTGCCCTTCTTCTCAGGGCGCAGTCACAGGCTTCATCACCATGCCAGCAGATGCAGCAGGGGTCAAGAGATCCTACAATTCAGTTTATTACTGTAAACTGTCATTCAGATAGAAACTTCTGCCACACATCGTAACACAGCCTGCAATGCTTGCAGACTCACAGACCCTTGGGGATAGGCCCAGAGACACAGTTAAACTATGGGTCCAAAACACTGAACTTTGAGTTACAAACTATCTAGGAAACAGCCTTTTTATTGCCAGAGATCTAAAAGAAAACCCAAAAGCTAGAGGAAGTCACTAAAACAGAAGGCATTTAAAAGCAAAAGGGAATCTGCCTCAAGACATTCTCCTGCTTCAACCTTTCCAGCGTATTCCTCATCCAGTCTTCTCTCTGAATTTTTACACTTGGCCACCTCTTATTCTAGCACTCAGGTAAGATTCATGATGCACTGCAAGTGCTGTGCAATTAACAGATTTATTGCCCAATTCACTTCCTTCTTCAGAGGAGAAAAGCACAACAGGAGATGGCTAGGTACTGTAGCTGTGGGTATATAATACTTACACATGATATGACATTTCCTCTACCACTACTGTAAGTCAGCACATCCCTACTCTTCCTGTAGATGTATCAAACCTTTTTCACTGTTTAGATTCCCAACTATTATTCATTCTTCAGCTTAACCATCAAGGGAGTTTTTTCCTACCCTCAGTATGGATTTTTTACACACCATCCCACATTTCCACCATAATTTATCAATTGCTTTTTCCACTCCATTTCACTGAATTTCTAATCTCATTTCCCCAACTACACTGTCTACAATCATAACATAGCAGTGACTTTAAAAAATTCAGTATGCTCCACTAATTTCACAATGTGTTAAAAGAGATAACACAGGGAATACATTCTTTCCATCTCAGTGTGATTACTTTAACTTGCATATCAGAGACAACAGTACACAGCCGAGGAGGAGGAGAGGCATTTCTGCAAAAGGAATTCAGAGCCCTACAATCTTACACAGGTATTGACCAGCGTTCAATGAGAGAAATACCACCAACTCTTACGTGCAAGACTGAGCATTTACCTCTTCCACATTTTTAATTAGCATTTGGTGGATGTTTTATTCTGAATCATGCCGATAGGGCTTCATCCAGTCCAGCAGCACATTTGTTTGAGGGATTATCACAGATGCATCATATACTAATAAAACACCCTGCTCTGAAAGGAATTTTAAATGGCACAACTTAGTGGCTTGCTTCCCAGCTGCAGTCTTAAGTTCTATATAATGTCAATGCCGAGCGCAAGCTACTTTCACAAGCAATTAAGACAGACTACATGAAGTACCTAGCTCAGCCCGCAGGCTATATAAGACTCAGCTTTCAGTTTTGTTCAATTACTTTGTCCTTGTCTTTGGTAAACAGAAATCCTTGTTTTAGTTTCTCTCTACCACACACTGCATCTGTTCTCCAAATTATACCACCTTAAACTGCACATGGCAGCCTTTAGACCAGTTTTACTCTACACTGAAGTAGTTTTTGCCAAAAGATTTGAAGGTAAGGTACATAACACAGCTATGTTCCTAAATAAATTTTATTGTCTAAAAAAGGTATATCTGAACTAAGTTTTACCTCAAACATGCTCAAAAGCATAAATAAGGTTTTGCCTCATCCCATTAAGATTCCTTCAGCCAATTTTACCTGCCACAGTGCTACAAGCCACATACTTGGCTTAAGTTGTTGCCATTTCTGCAACTTTTCATCTCAAATCAACTTTAACAATATTTAAAGACTAAACATAGTCTCAATCTTATGATAACCCAACCTCATCTCTCAACACAGCAATAGCCATTCAGATTAAAACTCACTGGGATAAGAACAAAGAGGTCACAGAGGATAGGGAAGTCCAATATTATACCACAATGCCCTCAAATGCAGAAGCTCATCCGCATGACATGGCACTTGACTCCAACTGTAGAAATGCTCTCAAGCTTCAAATACTATGTGCATATTAAATGCCTAAACACTGGAAGACGACTGCTCAGGGTCCAGTATTTATACCAAACTGTTCTCAGGATTTCTTACTAAATATTTGAGTAGAGGTGATGTATGAAGTTAAACTGAGTAGCCACAGTAATTAACTTAATTCTGAGAATCTATGCCTTTAGCTGAAAAGATGACACAGTTAAACTTTCCAAGCTTCAACAGAAGTGTAGTAGTACTACTTTTTCCATAAGCCAAGTTACCTTATGTAAACTAAGGCAGAAAACCAGACTAATTCTATTGAATTGCTATACAAACCAACATTAACAGTCATAAAATAAAAACAGTGCCAAAGGGTTAACACTTTATGATGATAATAGTTGCTTAGAACACTAAAGATCAATTTTAAGATAAGTATCATTGATGATTTAAATACGTTTGATCCTGCCTCCTGACAAACCTTTCAGGACTACTGGTTACTGTTCAAATTCTGTTCGGGAACAGAACAAACCAGCTTCGAGACACACAGCTTTGATTCCACATTTTAGATAATCACATGGAGTTAAAAACCACACAAACTAAACAAACAGAACAGAAGATACTCACATTCCCCATGTATTCTGAAAGTAGATCCTGCAAGGCCTGTCGCACTGCATTACACTCAGCAACTATACGTTCCCGTCGGTCATCACGTGTGCAGGATGAATCAGCCATCAGGGCTGCTCCGCTAATGATGCTCTCCAGGCGCTCTTCCAGGGAAGGCCTAAAACGTTCTTCACTGAAGGTCGATGGATCCACAATAATTTGTTTCTAGTAAAATAAAGGTTTTAGAAATTAGTAATCAGACCAAGCAGTAAGTTACCGTTAAGTCATAAAGACAATCAACCTTTACAGCAAACCCCTGATCAGGCATAAAAGGAAAACTCCACACAATTTTGGCACTGAGGATGATTTTCACAAGTAGTTTTGTAAAATTACTAAAAGGTTCCCCAGCAGATTACATTGCTAGTCATTTCTTGTGCTGCTTTGACAGCTAAACAAAACTTGGCCACAGAAAGCCTCGCTACATGAATGGCAAAAAATCAAACATGCCAGCACAAATAAGGTTCAAAGTACAGAACTCTTCTTAACTACATGTCAATCCAGACGTGCCTTCACTAGTTCACTTGTCAGACATAATTATCCCATCATAAACAAAAAAACCAAGGAAAACAAACGTCCAAAATTAGCCCTGTATACAGTGCTCTGTTGTCCTGGTTTATCCAGTCTGTCTTCTCCTCACCATTACGCAGGTAAATACAACAGTAGTCTCAAAAATTCTCAAAGTGAAACATCAACGTGAATGTTTCAAACAGCACAGAAATCAATTTCTTCATGGCAGAAAACTATCACAGGTTTATCTTGACAGAGTATTACTAAGCACAGCTCATACTGAGAGACTTAAGGCTGAAACAGCAGTACTGATGTATCTGCTTTTCAAGGGGTCAATGCCACCACCCACAGAAGTTCACCAGGAAGCAGCAGTGTAGTATTTATCATCTTGTGAGTACTTTCAGGTGGTTTATTTAAACAGGTTTGCAATTTATTAAGGAAAAATTATTTGTCCATTTCAAGGTTTGGTGGTGTGTTTAGGGTTTGGGTGGGTTTTCTTCCCACTACAGAGGCAGGAGGGGAGGGTGTTGCTAACTCTTTATAAAAGAAGCCCCAAAGTTTTTTTGAAATGGGAGTTTTCACAATCAGTTTGTATGCCAGCTAACTTCAACAGGAACGTCACAACCACTACTTCTCATGCCAGCCAGCACATTTCGTCTCCCTAAGGAGTAACCACACAGCCTTCACAGCAGGATTACAACACGGCATGTGTTCTCCAACATGCTCCTCAGTTTTCCTGAAACTTTTAGCTGTACAGATTGTACAATGGTAGTATGCTACAACTCCAGAACTGCACCATTAAAAACAGAGATAATGATTATCATGTTATCTTCTGGTAGCCATTTAATATTTTACTATCACAGTGAAAACACTGGAGTATTTGGGAGCGTGTGTGTGCAAAGCCTCTATTACAAGAGTGCAATAACACTCAAATGTTAGCAGGAAATGAAGTGCAGGGATAACATCTGCTGAGAACCTGAACACATTTGTTTTGTCAGTCTCCTTTGGCAGGAATGAGATGACAAAGCTACCACAAAAAATGCACATTGAACCTGGCCTGCTAAACAAGCCCTGCTGCTATTAGAGCATCTACACAAAGCGGAACTAAAAGCTCAAAAGCTCCATGTGAACCGCAACACTCAAAAAAGTCTCTGGCCATATGTTAGAGAGTTCATATAGTAAAATATGGCCATGTATCAGAAATCACATTAAATGGTTTGAGTTAAGATTAGCCAATCCACGAACCTGAACGGAACTGCTTCTTCAATTCTGTGTACCCATCAGTCCTTAACATTGTGTGCTGTTACAGGACCTGCCTTCCCCTCCCACAGATACCTGCTCAAACCTGCAATCCCTTGGGTGCTAGCCTGAGGTGCATTCTTAAGACTTATATAGCTGAACATACAACTGATGGAATTTAAGCAAAGCGGACTTAAAACTGAAATCATAGTCACAAAGATCAAGACAACCATGACACCCTCTTGTTACCCAAGAGATCACATAGAAAGGCTTCACACCGGACAAAGAGAGAACTCAAATAGCACTTTATCCTGGTAAAAGAAACATGGCAAAGAGAGTAATGTAGGGGAGGAGCAAGAATGGTAAGAGCAAAAAGGAGAAGGTGAGCAATATTTGGCAAAACCAAAAGTATTAAAACACCTTCTGAGCGATGGCTGTGCAATATTAAATAAAGTTTTAGAGGTAAGTTAGTGCGAAGGTGTTTAAAATTCAGAAGCTGAATCAGTGGTAGACACAGAATACTGGCTTCAAAAGAAAAGCATTCTCAGTAAAAATACATGGCTATCCTCAGTAACTTACTGCACACAGGATAAAGAATATGACAGATCAGTACAAGACATCAGTGTGAAGCAACTTCATTCCCAACCAAAGATCATATTAAACTTCCCATTTAATGTTCCTCTCAGTAGGTAGTTTGGGCAATTCCAAATACACTATTCACTTTAAATAAGTCATTTCTGTCACCTACAAGAATACATTACATAAATACATTATGAAATAATCAATTTCAAATAATCCAAGGGCTTACATATAGTGTAGCAGTAGGCTAACTGCTATTTCAGAGCTAGTTTAACTTGACAGCCTTCAATCACCAAGAACTGCATATGTAACTTTCTATATTCCATCAATCCTAGTGTGGAAAGACTTCTTAAAAAATAAAAGCCTACTTCACCTGGGACTCGCTGTATTTCAGTAGAAAATGATCTTTCAGGCAGTATTAAATAAAAGCAAGCTGTTGCTAGTAAATGAGGTGAATGAACACAAGAGTTGGAGTTACCACTTTTTTTACATGAAGAGTTCAAAACTTACATCAAAGTTGTTCAGAGCATAAGCCAGCTCTCCACCTCCACCCTGCTGCTGGGCAGCATCATCTGAGGCAGTTGCTTGAGCTGCGTTTGAGATGCCCGTGACTGCCTGCTGAAGCTGTTTGTAGATCAAGTCCCTGTTAGCTTTGTAAGCAGCTACATCAGGGTGCTGCAGACAAGCCTGGGATGCCGTATAAAGAATGGGAATGTTCTTCTGCAGAATTCCTCTGGCTGCTGCCATTTGATCACGGTGACCCACATCTTTCAATTCCTATTAGGAAAATTAAAGAAAAAAGCATTTGAGAACTTTCCCCACATTTAACATCCATACACTGTCTCCCTGCATCTTCAAAAGAAAAAAAAAAAAAAAAAACCAGGTTCTTTGCCTAGTATGCTCAAATCTAACAAACTTCTGATTGAATATTCCTATTCTTAAGTGCTCAACTAATTTCAAAACACAACAGCCTCATGAAGACGGGGGGCGGGGGGGAAAGGAGTACTGTAGGGCAAGTCACAGCTCCACAATTCAAAATCTGAAAATCTGAGGCTGGATTTTTGCTCCTTGCCACAGTAGAGGACCAGCATTTTGAAAGCTGGTAACACCCATAAATCACGTGGACACAGAAGTTGCAATCTCACATTTTTCTCCCCACTCCTTCCAGTTTGCATTATACCTACAGAATCACAAAGAAACCTAAATCCTCAAAACGGAATACCTTACACTTTTAGATAACTTAAGAACCAGGCTGTTTTAACTATTAAACAAACAAGATGCCTCCCCTGCAATCTTGACTTGTAGTTGCACATGAGAAGCAAGATATTCTTTAATTTAAACTCCAAGACTCACAACCAGAATGTTTTCTTTAATCACACCTAGAAGATGGAGTTTACTCTCCTCAAGAGACTTGGGTACTTAATTTTAGAAGAACAAGTATACCACCTCATTCAACTTCTTGTTCATCTCCAATGAGACAAAATTAATCCAATGACTATAACTACCACTAATTTAAGATTAGTGAGTCCATAGGTCTTTTCCAAACATTCACTGCTGCAATTCTCTAAAGCCCCATCACCTCTGTTTTGGAATTAGAAGCACTATGAATAGATAAAGCTTCTGAGTCCATCACAAGGAGTAAGTTTATAAAAGGAAGAATTAACACAGCTATTATCAGTATGAACATTTTAAAGTTACCTCCTAAATCTTACAAAGAGGTGAGAGAATGAAGAAGTGGGCTGCCGTACTGAGAAAAGGAAAAAATCTAACAGACTCTTCAAAATGAATGGGTAACATGCGACCTCTAAGATGCACACTAAGCAGGGAGGGCACTCCAAGCACGCTTACAGATTTAGTACAACCACTTCCCATAGTGTGGAACAATCCATCACAAAAGCAGCTTAAGAACATTTATTGCATTGCCATCACAACCCTACTCCCATTTACTGCAATCAGATTTTAGATACATAACCAACTGGCAATCCATTTTAGACTGTACCCTGTTTATTTTCAAAGATGAATCTGTGCAAAAAAACCAAGCAGTGTCAGAGGTGCATAAGTTGTTTTGGTTTATACATATCAGCAGAACAAACAAACAAAAAATGCTCTACAAGAATTATGCTATTTCTGATAAATGCACACACCTCTGCTTTCTTTTGAAAACTTACCTACACAAGAATGAGTCACAACAATGCTGTTGAACAAAACAAATTTTACATGTAATTTAAGGCTAAGCACAAGCTATCCAAACACAGACCACACACATAACAAACAGGATTTTTAAACCCCTTCTTCAAATGGGCATTTCAGTGCACGACTATCCAGCATCACCACTCACTTTCTTGGAACGAGCTGTAATTCTGTGCCCAGGCATGACTTTTGCTCCCTGTTTAAATGGACACGCTCAGTCCATCTGTGTGAGCCACAAAGGCAGCGTGGTCCAGTGGTGAGTGTACCAGGCACCGAGTCACATCTCAATTCTCCTTCTTTACCTACATCTGCACTGCTTCAAAATGGCAAGTGCAAGTCTTGGGAAGCAGCATTTCATTAAGGTACTAAAGGATTAACATAAACAAAGGCTACTAGAACAAATTCTGTCAGAAGCCATACACAACAGCTGAGCAGACTTTCTGCTTACCAAGCAAGCTTAATTTTTGTAAACGTGGTGGAGTGCAACACAAAGTACTCAGCAATAAAAATAAACTAAAAAAAAAGTAAAAAAAAAAAGTATTTGCAGCAATGAGTACTGTCCAAGAGCAGCAAGGCTGCCTTATTTTCTTATTTTGAAAAAGAAATAATATACAGAAGAGCGAGCTACCATCACTATACCTGTTGTCTTTTGGCTGCCATTATGTTAAGTTTGTCCACTTCTGGTTTGAGGGCTTTGTACTGGATACCCAAGTCTTGCTCTGTGCCAGCATTTCTTAATTTCAAGATACCTTCTTCCACCTAAAAGAATATATATTCACATATTTTTCCAAGTAATACAGTCCACAGTTCAGGAAGTAATTCAGAACGTACTTCATAGCAGACAGAGAAAGCAATCTTCCACTGACCCCTTTTAATTTTTGGGGAGAGATACTTCAAAGGCTAACAGTACTCAAGGCTTAGCTACTACTTCATAGTCACCAGAGACAGCCAAGTACGCACATTTGAAAGAGTATGAAGGAGCCCAGGGCACTGGCAGAACTGTGGCAGTGGCTGAAGGGCATTAGGAGAGTCCTCAAAACCCTGCCACAAAACTGGGCCCAGTATCAAATCTCATTTCATTTCAAATTGTGTACAAACCACCCATCCACCCTCTTGCTCATGGGAAGAAAAGGCTTCCTCAAATATTCCACATTCATTTTATTTAGTCTACCAAAGCTACTCATCCCTAGTAGCTACAAGGGAGTACTGGTTATAAGAAAGCCAAATTATTTCTTTAAGATGAAAAAAGCTGGTCATCACCTACAGTTGCAGACCATAGTACATTTAGTTTCAATACCAAAGTGTAATACAATCTCAAAAAGCTACTGACAATGAGTGTAAAAACAAGTGACAAACATCCATTGCATACATTTTGCTCAGAGGAAAAACCCTAAAAATCTCCTTGCTCCAGAAGAGAGCCGCTGACAGTGCACACGCTGGGGTCAGAACACATGCATGCAACTAAGCCACTTGACAGAGCACGCCTGGCATGCCAGGCACGGCAAAGTGAATCACAGCAAAAAAACTACACTTACTACTTTAAGTTGAACAAGCAGCTTGTAGACATCTGCCATGTCAGCCAAAATCAGCAGTCGAGTAACAGCAGAGAGGAGGGCACGTGCTGCTCGGACCATGTTTCCTCGTTTCACAGAGGAGCAGGGGTCATCTGCAAACTCCCCTGAAGCGCTCTTCATCAAGTCACCTGCACAAGGGGAGAAGATGGTCTGACTTCAACATCACACAGCATTTCTTAAGGGGCTGTAAGGATTCCTGGGCAAGCCAATCTAAGTCTTGAGACCAAAACACATTTGCATGTAGCTACCTCTGAGTATGGTTACCACATGGTATCAAGGTAGAGTGGTTTGTGCAGGGATAAAGGGCTGGGAAATAACACTGTGGTCCTTATTTCCAATTTTACAGGTGTTTTAGCATAACAGAATCCTCTGGAGAGGCAAATTCAGCATGCCTTTGCTGTTACATGCAGGACTGCAGTTACTTCACAAACTACAATGCTTTCAAAGCTTAAGCAAAAGCTTTGATTTGTGTGCGTGTAGGAGTTAAGCAGAAAGTACTGTAAGCACAGAAGGAAAGCCACAGCTCATGGGACTGTAAACAACTTGGAGCAATGACCTGGCTGGATATGCCCTGGTTTGCATTCAAAGCAAGGCACCGCTTAGTAAAACGCTTCAACGTTTCATAGCCTGTGGGTCTGCATCTGGTGCAGGAGGAAAGAATTTGGGTTTCAGATGGTAACAATGCAATTGGTTAACTATGAAAAGCAAAGGCCACTTTACACAGCTAGAGAAATTCCTCCAGAAGGCATTGGGTAAGCATAGAAGTAATGTCTGCATATAGTCAGAGAAGTAAGTATTTTATTTCTCCCCCCCATTTCTGGGGCAGCATTTTGCTTCCAGTACCACAGTTCCTACACAGCAGCAAATTTTGGAATCCACATTATTATTCTTGGATCTCTTTGCATTTCAGAAACATTTGGTGAATAGCTAAGATTTAGCTTAGAAAATACTAAGTACTCAAGGCCAAAGATTTGTGGGCAGCTCAAGATGACCAGAAAGCAGGTGAACTGTGTTATAACTAACTGCTGTGTCAGAGGCTTCCTAAAGCTGTATGAAAAAGTGTCCACATGGCCAAATGCCAAAACAAAAATAGCATGCCTCAGACAAGAAGAAGAGAACCTCAACTAGTGCTTCACAAGTGAAAGCTGACAGTGACTCCCATCAAGCCCACTACCAAGTGGGGCTGGGCAAAGTTTGCACCGAAATCTCAAGATGATGCAGTCGCATCATCCTGCCAACAGCTTGCCTGCTCCCACACCTAGGCAATCAGTGCAACTTATCCCAGGTATGGGAAGTGTTTCAATTTTATTTTAATGACTTTTTTTAAACCATTATTTTAACTACTCAAAAATACCAACAACTGGTTAACCACCCACATAGTTACCACTGAGCAATTAATATCTTGCCCTGGAAGAGTTTCTAGCACTCAAGCACTCTACACCTTTATAGCTAAGTACAGCCCAAACACAGCTGCCAGCCTGTCCAAGCAACTACATCAAGATACTCAATTTTGTTCAAATGCTCCCTCCTATTTAACACCCTTCCATCATCTTAAATAATATGACAGAGTGGCATACAACATTTTAAGATAAAAATATGCTACTTCAGTACCGAGACATATGAAAAAAGCTTCTGTCCAAGTACAGACCAGCTATAAATACCAATCTAAAGCTATCCCTTACCCAACTTTTTGAGAAACACAACTCATTATTTTAACACTTGTTAAAAGCCTCAGATTTCCACATGGGTGAAAGACGATGCATCTGTAACCAGCCATGAGACTATAAAACCCCTACATAGCTGACATGACCCTTTTTTTATTCCTTCTGGAAGAGGCTAATAATAGTGAAATTAATGTCACCACCGCAAGTATGAAATCTATTAACAATCTCAGGCTTTGAGGATATATACCAAAACCAAAATTCACTACAAATATTTCCTCTCTTATTTACTTATATGTAAAATTCCCACATTTCCAACTCCCAAAACAGAGGAATGTTGTTTTCATTTATTTCCTTTTAAAACAACCTAGAGAGGTGGCCACTCACCTCATCTGAATCTCAGAAATTGCTAACAAGGTTAAAAAACAAAATTATCCTCTACCCATCTCTTGAATTGCAACCTTACAAGCCAGTTCTGAAATAAAATGTCATTCCTTTTTATTTTAATGAGAGACTTTAAAAGATTTAGTGAGTTTCAAACAGCTTCTCAGGGTGTCAAAAGATAACCAACTTCCCAGAATTAAAGGAAGATTATATTTAAAGTTGTTGCATATATCTATTTTTCTGCAAATTAAAGAAAACTGGCTTTCAGACTTCTTTTATAAAGAAAAAGCAACACGGGGTAGTTATTTTAGCTAGATTCAAAGGGTAAGAGGGAGCTCTGCCCTGGTATGTGTGTGCATCAGCAGTTCAAACTGGATCCAGCATAATCTTCTCATTTTCAAATTTCAACCAGAGGTAACACAGCAAGTTTGAAAGCAGGATTGCAAGAGTTAAAAGAAACACACTACAGAAGAGTCAGACTATGACACTCAGATTATACAGCTGGTACAAATTCTTATATGAGTAATCTGTTTTTCCAATATAACCATAGATTTCCACTACATATTACAAGGGAAAGATAATAAAACACAGTAGAGAAAAGAAGAGGCAACAGTAGCCATACCATGATCTTGTCAATAAAGCACTAAGAATTCAATTAAATCTAATGGAACAAAGCCCATTTCAGAAACAGTAAGATTTAGTCCATCAAAAGAAAATTACCATTTTCTAGTCTTATTCCCACCATGCCCACAGGGTCTGACAGCACTTTCAGACAGCACTATTAATCCTCCTCAGCAGCGTGGTACACGATGACCATGACAGAGAGGGCTTGCTTTATACCAACACTGATGGAACGGGAAAGCGGCACAGAAGACAGGCAAGGCAGGGAAGACCTAGGATACGCACAGGCACTGATGCTTTTTTTCCCAAGCTAGACATGCATGCTCACACATCACCTTGTACCCTTCAGCACCTTCCAGTTCAAAGCCCGTCTCCAGGCTGCTTTGCCTGGATTAGAAATACAAAGAGTGCCATCAGGCCATACCTCTATCTGCTCATAACACCCTATCACAGTTCCCTAGAGGTTGCCTATTCCCCACCAAATGAAGGCAAGCATGAAATCAGAGTTTCAAGACTCTACTATTCTGGATACTGAAGTCCTATCTCACCACTAACGCCACCTTCAATGTCCACCACGAGTGTCACAACAGGCTGCCCTTGCTTTCTACTATAAAGGACAAGGCCCCATATCTCCTTTTGCCATATCAACATGTGAGTTGATAACTTACGGCAACAAAAGCTTCTGTTAATTCCTTAATCTTGTCTTCAGTTAAATCCATATACTGCCTACAACACTCCTCATACACTTTTCCAAGAGCCATCTCAGAGCTCCCTTAGGTTATGGCTTTTCAAAGATCTTGACTCCTTGGCTGGAAGATTACTTCTAATACAAGTGGTACACACCTAAAACATTTTTCTTGCAGGAAAACAACTGACAACTCTTTGTACCCTTCCAAGAAATTAAGCTAACCGGTCACAACTGAATTTTAAAGTTGAGTTTTCCAAGAAGAATTCAGTGTTTAACTTCAAGTTCTTCCGCAACTGGCCGCCTCGTGTTCTTTGGAAATCCTTAAGCCATGCATCTTGTGTGAAGTACAGCTGAAAAAAACATTTTACCCTTTCATAATTTGCCTCACTGCTCAGTTTTGGAGAAAGCTTCACTCAGACACACAGGGCAGAAAGACACCATGCTGAATCAGTAAGTTCACTCCCCCACGTTTGCAACCACGAAACTTGATCAAAGCCCACAGGATTCACAAGACCATTCATCCATTCTCTCAGCTCAAACCCTATGCACAGGCTTAAGCTTTTTCATTTTAAGCTTTAATTTTTGGTCTTTTATGTAAAATTACCACAGGAAGAAACACAACAGTAACAGCATAGCTAATACCCTGGATCCTCACGCTAGCATACAGATAGAGGCACTGAACTACAGTCATCCAGGAAAACAGGAATAGCCTGGTCAGCCTGACCCAAAATAAATTTCCTTCTTGACCCCAGAGTCTGCAACCTGTCTCAGTGCCAAGGACCTGGGTAAGAAACTAGTTCAGTCCCAAAACACCTCCCAACAGCACCAGAAGAGCTGACCATTTCAATGTACAATCAGTCTTCAATGCTTCATAAGACAGTAAAACCCTACAAAGAGCTTACAGTGGGGGGAATAAAACTAGGCAAGACCAATATTGCCCCTTTTATTACCCAGCAACTCCAATGGCAGAAATTAACGTAACAAGTGCTGCAAGGATGCTGAAATCCAAGACGTTCACATCAGACATTTTCCCAGTACTAAGTCTTTTCTATAACCACAGCAGGATCTATTCTGAAAAACACTTTGGTTCTTTGTCTCCGCTATTCTGTTCAAAATTTTATTTTAAGAAGTTTCACTGCTTTAAAAGAAATCAAAAGTCCAAAGCTTTAAAGGGCCAGGAATCTTACTTTAGGGTATTTCATGAACTTAATATTTAAAGCAAGTTGTAATTTATTCTTCCATTGTAAAAATCAGGAAGACTTTGAAGATCCACTTATACTGATTTAGTATGTAGCCATACGATTATTCATTCTAAATAGCTCTTTTCACTTCTTTGTTTTTACCCCCAACAAATGGGATTTTATGAACAAGCGTGCTCACTAAAATCATGTACCCTCTCAATCTTCTTCTTGCTAGGCTAAAAAAAATTTTTTTTAATTTTCTCTGATGAGACAAGATATCTATTGTCCTAATCATCTTCATAACCTCTGTCTACACTCATTCATCTTTTTTTATTAGGTAACTAAACTGCTCCCTACTCTAAATAGAGGCATTATTAATTCTATTTTCCTGTCTTCTGCTGAAGATAAATTGTGCTATACATCTATAATCCCACTACTGCTGTCAGACACACAGATGCTGCTAGTTCATGATCACTCTACTGCTGATCAGGACACCCAAATTCTCCTCTCCACTTGCATCCTATCCGCATTGCAAAAGGCGGATAAAGGCACCAACACCTGGAAGTTTTTGCTAAGCACACACACAGGACTTCTATTACACTTCCCTCATTTCTCCAGTTCATTAATTCAACTGGTCTACCACAATACTGGAAACACTTCAGAAAAGTGCACGGACCGTATATAAACATGTACATTGAGAGTTTGTATCTCCTTGCTGTTGTCAGCACTACTGAGAACTGCAATCTTCCCCGGGCACTGGCAGCAATAAGCCTTCCCTCTGTTGCATCTCATTTTTCACCATTTGCTTCTAATTTCCTCAAGGGTTTGCTTTTTAATTTCCTTACAAAGAACTTCTCTGCTCTGCTAAACCTGACTGAACACCGGCACCACGACAGGGCACAGGCTTTTATCCCTGCTCATACTGCCCCAGCAGCCCAGCCCTGCTGTGACTGCATCACCACAAACGACAGCGGGTACCAGTCATATTCAGGCAAATCACTTAAGTCTAATCATCATCCACCCAGCTTCAGAAAACAGATACAGCTATCCTCTCTACGCGCCAGATTTCATGCAAGCTGCAAACAGTAAAAAGGGAGGAAGAAGTGAAACATTAACACAGGAAGTTACTTCACTCCAGCACCTCTCAGCTACAAACTCCACCTCATCTGTCAAAGATCAACAAAGCAGGAAGGCTTTGGCATCAAGTCTATGTGTAGTCTCAAAATCAAGCAGGGGCCAAGAAACAAGTGAAAGGGTCATCCTGAAGGCTTTTGTATCAGTCTCTCCTTCCTACCAGCTTCTCGCTGCAACTACAAATTCGACTAATGGAACTTCTCAATCCTGAGGACTGAGTACAGCTCCCTCACTCACCAATATCACTAAGAGTCATTTGAAGGTACTCACAGATGAGCTCTGACTCTCAATTCTGAGCCGCAATCAAGCAAGCACCAAGAATTAAAGGCTTCAAGACAAAGGTGTCTCTTTTGCTGTTGTTTGTTGTTGTTAGATTAAGCCAACTCAATTAGCCCCTTATACTGCAGCCTTCTTATGTTGATCTTTCTTTGGTCTGTCAACCAGGCTCATCCAGAACTTAGAACCATTTTCAACTAATATTTCATCACTGTGCAACTTCAGTTACAAACAAGTAATTAATGCTAATGAGTTTTCCTTTTTTGCAGCAGCAGCAGCCGCCACCATTAATACCAGTTGACTGAGTTTCAGTGAAGCATAGAAAAGGCTCATGACTGGAAGAATGATAAATGATTTATGAGCAACAATATTTACTAGTGCATATTTTAGAGTAAGCCAGCTCCATAGGCTTTTCTTGCAGGTCTTCTCCAAGAAAGTGAAAAAGAAAGTGATAAAAATCAACACTAGATGTGGGGGAGGAAGCCTGGAATATTTAATCAAGGTCCTTGCATTCTGTTTGTTGCTGTTTACATTTTGCATATTCAAGACACCAGGCTCTGTCAAGTCAACAGTCAGCTCTTCCTCCTACAATGCTGTTTTGTACACACTGAAACATTGAAAAAGTTATTGACATATTTGAGATGTAGTTCCGTAACATTGGGGGGGGGCTACTTTGAAGCCTAAACTGAGTTTTAGATGCTCTTCAAAGAATCAGCCATTCTGCCTCTCTTCTCAATGTCTACTTGGGACATCCAATTTCCGTATCTGCCCAGTTCATTTTATTCCTCAAGGAAGCCAGCAAGACAAGCCAAGAACCTATGCCAGTAGAGAGGCACAGAGTCATTAGAAATAACAGCAAAAGGGAAATGGGAACAGTTCTGCTTACTCTGAAAAAACATACTTTTACAAGCTATCAGATACATAGCTCTTACCTTGCTTACGAACATCTTCCACAGCTGCTACCAGCTCTTCTTTAAGGAACTGGCTCTCTTTCGCAATTTTGTCTCCTTTCTCCAGGAAATTCTCCGTTGCTTGTTCAACTGAAGCAGCCAAAACATGGGCCTTTTTAGAACGCCCTCGCTTTTTATTTGAGGGGCCTTTGTTGCTAGTGTTAACCAGTGTTGTTACCTAAAGGCATAGATGGAGGGGAAAAAACAAAAAACATGAAACAAACTGGAAGTTCATCAATTTGACAGCAAGGCCACATGTATTTTTTTCTAGACAGCATATCACTAATGCCCGCACTATTGCCAGTTCCAAAGGTTAAACTCACAAACAAGTGTTTTTCACATCTCTTTAAACATTACTATGCTTCTTGATTCCTTAATGAGCATTATAAATTCAGCTAAACTGCTTAGAGATTTTTCTTATCAGCAGCAGACCTGAACATTTGATTTTAAGCATTGAGATCTATTTGTATTTTTGATAAACTGCAATCTCAGTAACAGGCCAGAGCTATTTGGCACCACAGGGGGGGGGAACACCAAATGAAACAAAACAACAACAAAACAAACAAACAAACAAAAAAACCCCAACCAAAAAACCCACCACACACAAGTCAGGGATAATTAGTTTGGGATAGCTCCCAGGGCATAAAAGACCCCAAACAAGGTTGAAGCCATTAGCTACAGAAATGTAGCAACACAGTATCTTTTCAGTCCAAAACAGCACTACAGCCAATGGACCAAATGCAAAGCAAAGGACTTCCTAGTAGGTTGGTTCAGAGAGGGAAAGCCATCAGTTGGGAATACTGCTGTCAGTTAATGGGGAGCATTTGTATTGGGTAGTCTCAGTTCATCATGTACTACAAATCAAGAACAAGTTGCAACAAGGCAACTTACTCTACTTTCCTCTCTGTATTTTGCCAGTCACATCATTCACAAAATTTGGGATGGCCAGTACAGCCTATTGTGCTACTTGAAGAATAAGTTACAGACACTGAACTTGGACAAAAAGGTCCTATAAACAAGTTGGCTCAGTTAAGTTTGTCAAATTAGAACAATTTCTCTTAAGGAAAGACTCCATCAGTAACTCCAGCTAAAAAGCTATATAGTAGATCATCCAACTGCCTGTCTGAATATGTGCAGGGAACAACTGGCAGGTACGGGCAGCAGCTTGGCGATTAAAGGGATGCTAATACTGGAAACAGAACTTGATCATTGCAATTTGTGCTTGGCAGGAGTTGTGTCCAGTTCATATTATCATCTTAAAAATTTCATTAAAACAATGCTAAAGATGAAAAGTTAACTGTTTCCAGTTCTTTCTCTTCAAGACCTCCTAGAAAGTCTCTTCCAAGAATCTTCAAAATGCCCAATACACACAGCTTACATCTACAAGACTTACTCTGGCTTTCCTATATTCTTCAGTGCATTTCACTGGGCAATATACACCATGCAGAAATAAGCTTTTATTCACAAATCCAGCATAAAGCATAACCAGAAATTAAAAAAACCCCATGCCTATCTTGTAAAAGATATACTGAAACACTAACAAATGCCATAAAAGCATACTACTTGGGTGGAACTCAGTTAGGAGGGGTCAGTAATCTATTTACAACACAAGGCAGTTCTAGATGGACTGCTAACATCCCCCACCACACATTTCACCGTTTACCTGAACTGCCTTCCAAAGACAACTCTAAACACAGGTAATCTCAAAGAAAAAATTTACGAGACCCTACTTCTGGCAAGCACTAATGGCTTTGTTGCAAGAGACTTTTGTTGTTCCCAAATACAGTTTCTAAATGATACATAGCACAGCTTTTTAAAGACTCAACAAATAAGCAGCATACCACCCAAAATACAAGTGAGAAGCAGCACAGCAGCAATGGAACATTAGCTACTAACATGCATTTCTCCACTTTAACTGAAATGCTGTGTCTTATCAGGTGCTGAAGAAGCAGTCTTTCTAGATTTGTGCCCAGTAACCCTGTAACAATAAAACTGAACAAGGAAGTTATGTGTACACTTTTTTCCATCTTTAGTTTTGTAATGTTTTTACCTCTGGAATTTAAGCTTTGGAAGTTACTTAATTGAAATAATACATCAAAACAGGTAATCATCCTTATGAAGGTTTTTTTTTTGCCCCCCCTTTTTCCCCTACCTGTGTAACAAGAGGCTCCAGTAGTCTTTCAACTGCCAGTGTTCTTATCTCCAAGCTTTTGGGGTCCCATTTGAAGTTAACGTTGCCTGCAGTAACAGCAGTCATTTCTAGAAGAAGAAAAGAGCTACGTGAATACATTTTTTTATTATTATTATTAATGCTGTTGGAATGTATTTTAAAAATAAATTAAAATGGAGGCTATTAAACACACAACACATCCATTCAGTGTAAGTTAAGGTTATACTGTCTCCAGAAATACCAGTTTTGGTTCAACTGGTGATAGTTTAAAAAATTGTTTGTTATGACAATATACAGATATTACCTGTATGTTTTGGTTAGAGAATGAAGCCAAAACCAAACAAAACCACAGCAAAACCTAATCAAAAGCCACAATATTTTATCAGAGCAATAGCAAGATAGGTAATGTTTGGTCTACTCATCAGTGGTCCCCAAGCAATGAAAAAGGACCTTGCAGGTAATGGGGGCACTTCACCCACGAAGCTGGAGGCTAAGTAAATAACCCCTTCCCAATTTCTGCTGCTTCCCTCCAGGGCCAGCTGGCCTGTACTCCCAGACCAGCTTTGAGACACTGCCCAAGGTCTTGGGGGAGCAGAAGGGAACACCAGAAAGCTGCCAGTTTTCTCAGCTCCACCATGAGGCATTACCCAAAACACTTTGTCAAACCAGGAGTCAGGTTCTAATTCAACTCATTCAACCATTCAACCTACCTGTTCATCCAATTCAATTCCAACTTTGGAAGTACAAAGGTAAAACAATGAAGGTAAAAAAGTGAATACAACCCTAATAAAGCCAGAAAATCCAGTTGGTTCATATTTAACAGGTTATGTATCTACTACACTTCCCCTCAATATTTACATAGGAGGGAAAAGCAGATATGCATGAAGAGATCTGTTAAAAACTGTCACTGAGCCATCCCTTCCCATTACAGTTGTATATCAACATCCTAATGGAACAGCAAATATGATTATGGGAAAAGTTTAGTGAAACTGCTAAAATAGCTCTGCTTTTGAGACCAGTAGTCTAAAAAAAAAATTTAAAAGTTATGAACTACAACAGATCACAAGATTAACACTATGATGCTGTACAGCACAAAGGAATAACCAGAACCATAATTTCAGTAAAAAAAAAAAAGGATTTAAAGTATTTACAGGTCCATAAAACCAGTTCATACCACTTCAAACTTAGTAGATGCCAGCTCTTCCTGCTTCGTGTTGCCCTCAAAATTCAAGATTAGACTAAACCGACATTTGTAACTTTTTGTTTTTACAAGTCAGGAAGAGAACTACATTTCCAAAGTCTCCTTTCACCTCTTTTCCTAAGGACCTACTGTTGCAGTTGCTTTAAGGCTTATTAGCCGCTATTTTAAAATCTTATTCTGGACAGGGCATTGTCTGCATAGCATCTCAGCAGACAGATTGCTCTGACAGCACCAGATGTCCCCACGCTGCCAGACGAGCACAATGTCCCATTATTTTTAAGAAGCAGGAGGCAAGTCACTAATTTTGGTAACCAATGATGTTTATAACACACACCAACAACCAAACGTTTTATACCAACAGTGACAGCTAAACACGCAGAAAGAGCACAGACATGACTGCTTATTTCCTATTGAAGAATAAAATATCTCAGGCACTCGAGAAGCTCAGCCTGAGAGGGTGTAAAGAAGTCAGAGCTTAGCATCACCTGGCTTCAGTCACAGCACCTTCATGGCAGGCTGATCTTGAGATATTACATAGGCTTTCTCACACCACGGACACGATACAATAGATTAAGTATTTGCTACACTACTGAAAACATATCTTTGCCCTGAAAAGCCTACATGCTGTCATACACTGGAGTACAATTTTGCAAGGTGCAAAGCAGGAATATTCACCTAACTTGCATTCAGCTTTCCACCTATGCCCACGCTCCAAGTGTCTATGCTGCTAGAGAGAACAAAAACTTAAAAAACTGAAAGCTTAAAAAAAAAAAAAAAAAGGAAGAGATTGATCCATGCTAGCATACATATAACATTTCTGATGGTTTTAAATCAAAAAGCTTGCAGGTGTAGATGAAGGGTCCCAGCTCCCTCAGCAGAAGACATGCTAGGCTGCAGCTCCAGAGACCCCCAGTGAGCTGACTGCATGAGAGTGGAGGATGGCCACCTCCTCTTCCTCAACCTACCTCTGACACTTATCACTAAGTTCTGTGAACTCACTAACTATCCTTCTCTCCCAGTCACCCCCTTTTTCTTTTGCTGGTCCATCTTTGCACTGGTTTGTGCCACAGCCCAGACGCTGGCACAGGGCAAGCTGTGAAATGCCCTTCACCCTCTGGTAACATCCTACCCTCAACAAGGAATTTCACTGGTTTATTCCCTCCTGATTAGCTCGGTGTGAATGCTTCCTATGCAAGAAGCCAAGAAAAATACACTGAAAGCCTTTATGGTTTCCGAGAAACATACCCAGGGCTCTGGAAAGCCCATTAGGTTTCTAGAGTAAAAGCTGTTTCTATGTATTTAATGCTGTTACATCTCTCACAGAAACAAAGTGCAGAACGAGGTAACCCCGAGAAGATATATTAATTGTATTAGTAGGATAATGAAGGCAATTCATCTGAAAACATGTTAGTATGATAGTTCACGAATTGCCCAAAAGTAATGGTCTATAAAACCACTTAGTATGAACTTTGTTGAAATTTATCTGAAAAGCATAGGCTGATACCAAATACACTATTTGGTAGCAATGACTTGGATATCATTTGTACATTGTAGTAAATATGTTTATTCAATTAAATACTTGTGAAGAATACAGTAACAGGCTATAGCTTACAAATGCATGCATGAATGGGGTGGGTTTAAGGGATCAAAGGACAACTGCCAGGGGCACGTTAAAGCAGGGCCACACTCCCACCATGAGAACCCTCTAATTCTCTGGAGCCTTTCTTGTCCCTGTGACTGCTCAAGCTCTTGCCTCATTGAATTCAAATATGGTAACAGGTAGTAAACCAAGTCAGAGGATATTGTTGCAGAGTGCTTAATTGTTGGCTCTTGGAGAGCACACAACAATTCCCACGACACCTGCAATAACTGCAACATCTCATAAAGAAAGGGGACATCCTCTGGAAGATGGACCCAACCACCACAGGCCAGCATAGCACTGGTTTCAGACAGCTGGGATGACCCAGCTGATACGGAAACAGGTTCTCCACACCACAGACCTACCATGCATAGGACATGCAGCAGCACATGCACTCAAAACAGGAATTTCAAGGACAAAGCAGCACAGTCCACACAGCAGAACAGAGCAAGCGATGCTGAATCTGAAGTGCTGGAATATATAGAAAGACACCACCGCACAAGGAGTTGCGGTTGCCCAGCTTGTGGTTTCATAAGCAGCAGAAAAGCTGCTTAAAACCCAATGTTCATCCTCCCACACCCCTCTAGGAACTCATTCCCATCTTCACATCACACCCCCCCCTGTACTGGCACAGCTTTCCCCACAGCTGAGCGATTAACCAGATGGGGAAGAACCAATTTGGCTGGAGGGAAAGAAATCCATTTTTGCAGGGTGGTCCAAGATCCCCATCTGGTTCACTGTGCCACCACAGATACTGCTGTGAGCGGAACTGGCAGTGGCAAGAGGAGATGGCTACATCAGCTGGCACAGTTGGCAAAGCCCTTCAAGTGGAAACAAGGGGCAAAGTTGGATGTCACAGCTCAGTTGAACCAGGTGCTGCTGAAAACAGAGCATCAAGCAGAGTCACTGCAGAGAGATGTAATGCCCTCCCAGCATACCTAATGCTCAGACACACAAACCCCCAACCTTACACCATGCTCACAGCCCAGCACGTTAACTGTAAACCCTTCAGGTTATTGCACTGGTTGCAACGGTGCTCATTATTGTCGTAGATGGTTCAGGAGTAATGCAATTGTATCTTAGTGGGGTTTAGTGTGCTTGCAAGGACATGAGGGTAGGTAAAGAATAGGAGTTTAAAGAAGCCACTTCCAGATTTCCCTGTTGCCTCCAGAAACTTCACAATTCCCAGCCAACGAGCAGTTCTGCAAGCAGAGCCATCCCAGGACAACTTGCCCCTTGCTTTGTACATGGAATCAAGATCTCAGCAATGGCTAAAGCTTAAGAAGAGATTTCTATTATACTTTACACTGCCTTAAGCAAACACTGCCACAGTGCTACTGCTCCTTTCCCTGCCACAAACCTGCCTTGAATGGGCACCCACACTGGCGCACACCTGCTGCGGTGAGCCACTTCAGGAAGCTAAAATGGTCTCAGAGTAAGCCACCATATATAAAAATTACCTTGCCAGCTTACTGTTCTGAAGGAGGCGGTGGGACTGCACAAGGAAGAGAATGGGACTGCAGCAGCACTGAGATGAGCTCTGCCCCCAAACTGCACCCCAGGGCAGGTCCCAGCCCTGCTTGGGAGAGATGAGGGCACAGACCCGAGCAGAAGGATGTAGTAAAACTGCTGGGGCTGCATTTACATACCATGTCGAACGAGCTGGCCTGCCGTGAACACACTGAAGGCAATATGCATACAGTGTTCTTTCCAACTAAAGGTCATAGTGTTTTCAAAAACTGGTAATTCAAGGTTTTAAGAATAACTTCAGATACCTACTTCCAGCATACTGGCATGCAAATAATTTCTACACTTCGGCAAGAGTAGGAATGTAGCTCTGCGACTTCTTTGCAGAAGTGTCCTGAAGGCACCCAAGGCTTTTCAAAAAGCCCATGAAGGAGCACTATTTCAACAGCAAGCTCTGCACACCAACAGAATCACAGAAAGGCCTAGTGCTCACGGTCCTGTTTTTCCAGGTTGCACTCCCACGCACACCCGAAAGCAGTGCTGGCTTTATCTCATGCACTACTGAGCTAGTACGTTCAACCTGCTTTGCACCAGGAGATCCTGCAGCCTCCGAACCTCTGGACGAGAGCAATTCTATTTTGGTTACACAGCAGAAGATCTAACTGCCCATCTCTTGTGCTACAACTTAAGTCCCACTGCCTTGTGCTACCTGAATCGTGTTTTACATATCATCTTCTATCAGTCTTCAAATTTTAACTACCCTGACAGGCTGCCTTCTAAAAGTTTTTAACT